GGAGTTAGGCCACAAGTTAGGAGAAGGGATATTACACAGATGGAGCAACCTACTAATCGACCTCTTAGCTATGCTAATACCAAATTACAAAATGCACAATTGAGAGTTTCAATTTAGAGAGCAATGGAAACAGATGCCCTGAAAGAGAAAACACAACAAAAATCTGCATCTGGGATCCCTCTAAGCTCTTCTCCCAGTTCTGTACATTCTCAAGAAGGCCAAAAATGGAGGACACCCCTATTGCACCATTTTCCACCAAGAGAGCCTTAAGTTAGGGATGGAAACTGAGGCTGTGATTTCATCCATGTGGAGTACTCCAGTGTGAGGAAAATCCCTCTACCAACACAGCTCAGCACCTTCTCTGCAAATTTCAATCTTAAAAAGTTGCCTGGGACATTGAGAGGTAAAGTCACTTGTCAGGATCACATAGCCAGTCAATGAGGAAGGTGGGATTTGGACCCAGTTCTTTCTGGCTCCTGGGCTAGCTCTGTACCCACTACACTATACTGCCTCTCTTGAGTTTAAGTTAAGAATTTAAATACTCAATACTTGTATAGCTCTAACTCAAGAAAAACATTCTTCCTTCTAGGTTTTATCAACAATGTTAACAGCTCTAACACAAGCAACATTCAAGTCGGAGGAGACCTAGAACAACCCACTTTGCAGAAAAAGAAACATTCCTCACTATGTAGCATTAGCCACAGAACTGGAAACGTAGAGATGGTATCTGAATCTTCAAGCCCTACTGAAATCTTTTCTAACATTCTTCACAAATGCTGTCCATTAAAAATAACTAACATTTATACATTTACTATGTGCCAGGCATTGAGCTAAGTGCTTTACAATTATCCCAGAAAGTAGGTGCAATCATTATCCCCATTTTACAGATGAGGAAACTGAGGCTAACAGGGATCAAATGACTTACCCAGAGTCACACAGATAATAAGCGTCTGAGGTCACATTTGAACTCAAGTCTTCCTTACTCCAGGCCCGACACTCTATCCACTATACCACCTTAGCATTAAATGATGTGATCTATGAGAAACCCTAAACATTTCTAAAATGTAATAGCACCTTCCTCATTCTAGTTACAAATAATTAAGCACTTATTAAGAAAATGAATGAGAGAGGTAACTCTATCTGTTATCTGCAGAGACATTCTCTCTTTTCCCTTATCCTCTATCCTGGGATGAAAAATGACCTGGTACTTTCTCTAATAAGGATGCTGCCTACCCTCATCCCTAGGAAAGAGGGACAAAATGCTTTGGGCAGAAACTACCAGAGCACTTCTGTCAAGGTCTACGGTAACGCTTTACAAACCGTGGAACAACTTGCACATGATCAGATTTGGCAAATGGACTGAAATGGGAAAACATACACACACACACACTCTCTCTGTGCACGGGGCTTGACCTCTCAATGTCCCAGGCAACTCTTTAAGACAGAAATAGCCATTTCTGCAATTACTCACTAGGCAGCACTAAGAGCTTCTCTGATTAAAGGTGCTAAGTGGAAGCATCATTACCGATGCTTAACGAGCAGAGTTTAATGCACAAATATTTAGATGACAATAGGTTGAGATTAATGAGGCATTAAATTCTATGTTTGGCAAAAAGCTTTAGAATTTATATGAATTAATCCAAAAGAACAACATGTACAGTCGTTTCAACAATGTAAATGACAAGATCAATAAAGGAAGCTCATAGTTTTTCAGTCCTGTCCGACTCTTCGTGACTCTATTTGGGGTGTTCTTGGCAGAGAACTGGAGTGGTTTGCCATTTCCTTCTCCAGATCATTTGACAAATGAGGAAACTGAGGCAAACAGGGTTAAGTGACTTGCTCAGAGTCACACAGTTAGTAAGTGTCTGAGGTTGGATTTGAATTCAGGTCTTTCTGACTCCAGGTTAAGCATTCTAATCACTGTACTACCTAACTGCTCAATAAAAGGAATTTAAACTTCCTAAACTGAGTAATTGAAAAAACAGAGAAATACTAGATAACAAATTCCTTCTAATAGCAAAGAGGTGGGGAACTGCTGGGGCAGAACGCTACCCAGTAGGATCACCACATGAGATGTGTTTGCTCAATTGTTTTTCGTGGTCAAAAGAAAGGATTCAATCTGGAGGGGTAACAGAAAGTTCTTATTCTCCCTCAAGAAATGACTATGATACTGGGGCAGCTAGGTGGCACAGTGGATAGAGCACCAGCCCTAGAGTCAGGAGGACCTGAGTTCAAATCCGGCCTCAGACAGTTAACACTTACTAGCTATGTGACCTTGGGCAAATCACTTAACCCCATTGCTTAGCCAAAAAAAAAAAAAAAAAAAGATATGACATAAAGATGAAAAGCATCAATAAAACCATTTTTTAAAAGAAAATAGCTTTAAAGAGGACAAGTCTTCTACAGGTCAAGTGAAACAAATGGAACTGCCCTCCTTTGTTAATCAACTCTTTTCAACTCATCATTCCCTTAAGATCAATCAAAAAGCATTTATAAAGCACTATAAAACACCTATTGTGTCAAGCACCACATTAGCTCCTGGGGACACAAATAAAAGAGGAGCCAGGTGGCACAGTGGAGAGAGCGCTGGCCCTGGAGTCTGGAGGACCTGAGTTCAAATCTGGCCTCAGACACTAACTGGCTGTGTGACACTGGGTAAGTCACTGAACCCTGTTTGACTCAGTTTCCTCATCAGTACAGTGAGCTGGAGAAGGAAATGGCAAACCACTACAGTATCTCTGCCAAGAAAAATCCCAAAATGGGGTCAGGAAAAGTTGGATATGACTGAAAAACAACTGAACAAGAGGAAGGACAAACAAAAAGAATGAAAACAAACCCTACCCTCAAAAAGTTCATATTATAATCATTGTAGCTGGAAAGACAAACATATATAAGCATATACAGAATAAATGTATTATACATTTGCTCTGTACTTTGTTTTGAATTTGTTTCCTATGTGCTTGTCAGTCAATTAATATTTATTTAGTGCCTACTATAAGTATGCACTGTGCTAAGCACTAAGGATACAAAGAAAGGCAAAAACTAGTCCCTGCTCCTTAGGTGCTCATGGTCTAAGGAGGAATCTAACATATAAACAAAATTATATTCAGGGGAATATCCCCTGATAATCTCAGGGAGAAGACACTAAGATTAAGGAAGACTGGAAAAGGCAAGAGACCTAAGGACGTATAGCTTCAATTTCTTCAGTAAAACATCAGGCATAGTTATTGTTTAAATAGTAAGGGCTAGGGGCAGCTAGGTGGCACAGAGGATAGAGCACCAGCCCTGGAGTCAGGAGGACCTGAGTTCAAATGTGACCTCAGACACTTGACACTTACTTGACACTCACTTAACCCCACTGCCTAGCAAAAAAAGGAAAAAAATTCAATAAAAGAGTAAGGGCTGAATTTGTATTGGGGGTGAGAGGGGAGGAGGGAAGGAAAGGAGAGGAAGGAAAATTTGGAAGCACTACTGTCAGGAATGGGTGAGGGAATCAAAAAAGAAATTAAGAAAAGGATCAACTGGAGCAAAAACACACCAGTGGAATTATGGAGAATTTGTACTGAAGTCAGTCAGCATGCTTTTGTCACTTACTCCCAAATGGGGAGAATCAGGAAGGAAGGAAGCAGTTGGCGAGTTCTGGGGAAAGGGGAAGGAGGAGTAACAAAGCAGACCACTATGGCAAATTATCAAGAATTAACTGAGCCAGATGGCAACAAATACAGAATTAAGAAGAGGTTGGAAGACAGAAGAATTTAGAGGAGGGGAGTACCCAAGAAGGAGGGCAAGGATGCTGAACGCAGAGGTATTGGGGAAAAGAGACAGTCTTTGACTGCATCCAGGATCATTCCTAAGCTTGCATAAAAACTGGCTACCCATTTCTGTTCGAGGAATTCTGCTCAGGACAAAGGTGAAAGAAAGCTGGAAATTCTCAACACGAGAGAGGGCTGCTCCAGACAACTGCTCTTGGCTTTCCTCTTGAAGATTTTAGAAGGAACTAAGGTGGTGGGAAATGCTTAATGCTAGAGAGGCCCTTTTCACAAGCCCTGTAGCAGTGGTAGTGGTGGTGGTGGTAGTAATAATAGTAAGAGTAGTAACAAAAAGTAGTAATAACAACACTTCAAGTGCTTTATGGGGCTAGTGACACTGATTAAAAAAAAAAAGGAGGAAAAGAAAGGAAAGAACATCAATGAATCATTAAAAAAACAGGAGAATAGAAGGAAGTTCAGAAAGGGACACAGAAAAGTAGGGCTGTATTAAATCTAGCACATTAAATTCTATATAAAAAAGATCTACAAAGGGAAAAAACCCTACAATTTCATATATACAATCTCCCTTTCTGTTTTTCTCTGTATATTAAAACGTTCATGTTTTATTAAGTTTATAATACACTTTTTAAAAACAAAACACTTTATATATGTATATATACATTATATACATTAATTACATTAATGTAAAGTACATTACATTATAGTAATGTAATGCATACATTAATCTCACTGAGCCTCACAACTACCTTGTAAAGCAGATACTTTTGCTATCTCCATTTTATAGAAAGGACTGAAGCTTAGAAAGCTTCAATGATTTGTCCAGGGTAACACAGTTCCTCCGCATCTGAGGCAAGATTTGAACTTAAATCTAAATGCCTACAAGTCCAACATTTTATTCACTATACCATGGTGCTATGAATGTACATACAGGCTAGACAATGAGCCTAGCTATGCTAGCTACGACTCTTCCACAGCAATCTACTAAATAACAACAACAACAATACTTCAGATTCTTTATGGGGGTAGTGACACTAATACTTTAAAAAAAAAGAAAAAGAAAAGAAAGAGAAGAGCATCAATGAATCATTTAAAAAACAGAAAACCGTATAAGGGAGTTCAGAAAGGGACATAGAAAACACACACATATACACAAATCATTTCCTCCCCTTATCAATACACACATGAAAACAAAAACCAAATAAACATATTATTGGTAAAACAGTTTCTCACCTGAAAGGAGTTCATATATTGAAGAGAAGGCGGCAGAGAATCATTACTCCTTGATAATATCAACAGTAGCTCCAAGCAGGTTTGGGAAGGCAGGACAAGGGAATGGACTCCAATATCATTTTCCCATGAACTGGCAAGCCTGGAACACACCAATATTCACATTTTCATGAATGCTTTTGGATTAAGGAAACTCACAATCTGACATGCAAGAAGAAAAGGGTCAGAGTCAATAAATAAGTGTCAAAATTTTCAAAGTAAGGGAAAAACTCAATGACAATATGGAAAAAAAAAAATCCACAGATATGAGTATGAGTGAGGGAGCAGCTGTCCAAGGTACATTCCCTGCACTGCTGGTAAAAGACAGGGCTTAAGCAATTCTTTCCAAGTCATCAGTTCGTTTTCAAAAATATATGAAGTGTGACTATAAAGTAATAAGAGTGATTCTGTGTGCAGCTGGGGGAAGTAGCCTCATTAATTCTAGTTATACTTCACATATGTGACATAAAAAGATAGAAACCAGGCCAAAATCTAAGGTACCCTAAAATTCATTTATTAGAGTCATGTTTACTCTATATTGTCAGCTCTCACATTTACTCAATATTGTCTTCACATCCAACACCTACCCTATATCGCCTTCTTCACCCATCCCCAAAAATTCTAAAATAAAAATACAAGATTTTCTTTTCTTTCTTTCTTTTCTTTTCTTTCACCCCACAAGGGGCTCTCATGGCTTTAGTGCAAGGATTCTCAACTCGAAGTCTATGAACGGTTGTTTTTGTTTTTTTAATTCTGATAACTATATTTCAACATAGCTATTTTCTATTCTAATCCATAGGCAGCTAGGAGGTGCAATGAACACAAAGAGCTGGACCTAGAGTTGAAAAGACCTGAGTTCAAATCTTGCCTTAGATGTTTGTTAGCTATGTGACCCAGGGCAAGTAATTTAACCTCGTCTGCATCAGTTTTCTCATATGTAAAATGGGGATAAAAATAGCACCTAACTTCCAAGGTTGTTGGAGAATAAAATGAGAATAATTAGAAAGTGCTGTGCAAGCCTTAAAGTATTATATAAATGCTGTTTATTATTATAACTATTATCAATCCTGAGTATTTTTATATTGTGCATTTTTATTATGAATTTAAAAATATTATTCCAAGAGAGGGTCCATAGGTTCTACCAGATTCCCAAAGAGATCCATGGCACAAAAGAGGTTAAGAACTTCTGACCTAAGAGATTTTTTAAGAACTTTTTTTGGTTTGTTTGCTTTTTTGTTTTTGTTTGTTTCTGACTTTTCAAAAAGGTTCACATTGCAATAAAAGCATAGCTGGGGGGTGGTCTGCTGTTTTCTCTCTGAGACTGAAAATAAAATCTTTACTAAATGATAGAATTCTGGACTAGAGGGAAAAAATGCCTTTTCTACAGCAGTTTAACTAGAATAGAAAGATACAATCCTTTTACATTTAAATGACTATCACCATAATTTGAAATTGCTATGAGACCCTCTAATCAACATTGATCCTTTTAATATACATACCTGACAGCTAAAATCAATTAAACTTAATTTTGGTAGATGACTGCTAATACTGACAGATAAAGAAAGGAAGGGAGGAGGAGAATTATTTATAGAATTTTACTGCATAAACCTCCTTTGCCCATGTCTAAAGATGATGGCAAAAGAAATAGCTAAAAGGAGGTATCTCTCCAGCAGACTTCATTTCCCACAATACTTGGGTCAGAAATGAGGTAACAAAATGGCAAACAGCTTTAAAAACAAGAAAAGAGGAACTAAGAGAATGAAAGAGGCAAAACACGGGGCTATGTTGGGGGAGGGAAAGAGAAGATGACCATTTGGGGCAAGTATCATGGCATCCTGAGGCAAAGATACAGGCCTCTGACACCCTGTGCATTTCCCTCTCAGATGGCATACAAAGTGATTTGCCTCCTGCTATTCTGGGGATTTATGGGGATGAAAGGGGAATTCAGTTATACTTTTTCTGAGGGTATAGGAGATGTACACCTCTTTGCATAAGAGTATAGAGAATATTTTACTGCTTGGTTTATTTCTTGTTATTTTCCACATTATGTCTAACAATTAAATGTTTTTACAACTGGATATATATGTTTCTGGCAAGTCTGGCAATAAAATGACACATCAGATGGGGACTTGGGCCATGGTTTATCAACACAAAACAGTTATTTCTGAACACTGGAGGAGCTAAGTGGGGTTCTATATATGCAAGTAAACTTCAACTGCAACAATCATTTATTAAGCATTATGGTGTAAAAATCAATGCTAAATCCTGGAGCAGATACAAAAATTGAAAAGAGAAACAGTCCTTGACCTTGGATGGCTTACAGTCTAGTGGCATGCTTGTCTTGCTAGATAGACTCTCAAGTATTTTATATTGTCTACAATTATTTTCAGTTGAATTTCTCTTTCTGTTTCTTCCTACAAGGTTTTGTTCAAATCACTCCGGCTTTCATTGAATGGCTAATAATAGGCCCTAACCCAAACTTCTGTTGCTCATTGTTTAGGTTTTGATGGCTTAAAGTAAATGCGAATAGCAATCATTTTCTATTCTGGCCAGAAACTCAAAGGGTGCCTCCCAAACTGATACTTTTATATGGTAAACTAGGCCATCTTCTGTCTCAATTCTAACTTACCCCTTAGTCACTGAATGGGTGTAGCCTCAGACAAACTGAGACCTGGGAAAGACCTTAATTTAAAAAGGCCAGAGTCACCCACTGCATCCTGGGCCACTGCCAATGATCTTGCCACCAGACTCTGATGACTCTGGAGGACAGAGTGAGGCTGATGACTTTGCACAGCTCTGCCTCACTTAAATCCAGTTCAAGAGCAAGTCAAGTGTTGATGGGGTATGGGCCCAAGCAGAGACCTTTGCCCCTTGCCCCAAAAAGAATCTGAGTCCCATTTGTCTACAGGCCCAGAAAACCTTTAAACTCACTCTACTCTCAAATGGTTACCTGAGGCTATACTCCACTCAATGGCCTTTCCTTATTGACTCTCCCTGTCTCCCTTTGAAAACCTAATGAAGCCCTAGTATATTTCCCACCTTTGATCTTATCCAAACCCCATTCAAACCTCTTCCTCCCAGTTCCCTTCATTATCTATTCCCATTGTCTATTCAACCTCCCAGACATTCCAATTGGAATTCTCCCCTGAACTCACTCCAGCTTCAGGATCTTTCTCCCAGGCCCTCCTCTGAACGCCCAAAATTATTTGAGTGTATATAAGATCCACCCTGACCCCCATTTAAACACTGAGATTTCCTCATGCCCACTCGTCCTTATGGATGTCACTAATGTTCAGATTCCTTAAGAGTCTGGCATGTATGACTTATCCCTAATAAACTTTGTCTCTGGCTGAAAGAAGATTTGGGTCGAATTCTTTTGGGTAGGACCTGCGTGTTGTGATTTTGGGGTTCCAGTACCCCTAAACCTCTAGACCTCAATAATGTCACTGGTCCTCTTCAAGAACGAAGGACCAGTAACAACAGCAACACAGAGCGACCATAAAAGCGTGACATAGGCACATTAAAGTGCTAACAGAGGCACCAGGGGAAAAAAAAAGACCATTTCCAGTTTAGGAGGGGGAAGCGTACAATTGAGATGAATGTTACAGAGAAGGTTTCAATATTAAGTACCAATAGTTAAAAAAAAACAAACAGGTCTCCAGAAGAAAGTAATAGTATTTTACAAGTACATGTGAATTATATGTACCTAAGTTTTCCTACAAAGCAACCACCCTCTCATTAACAACTCTACAGAATGATGGTTCTCTGGAGGATAGGAGGTTTTACTTAAAAGCTAAGAAATGCTTACCCTACATAAAGAAATCAAAAACAAAAAGTTTCATGAATTTGCTAATACCTACTGCATGTTTATGTTTAGTCTTGAGCTGTTCTGTTCTGAATGTTTTGGGGTATTTTTGGCTGCTACAAATTCTTTTATATACTTTCAGCTGCAACTTAAAAGAATGACTTTGAAGAGCAGGATAAGAAAGGTGGGAAGGAAAAATCAAATAGCACTTTTAAAAACAGGTAGTGCTAATGATAGAAGGACAATGAGGTAGAAAAGAAGAATGGGATTGAAAGGCAAGTACTTAACTTCTTGCTCCATGAATAAAAGTTCTATGGAGTTCAAGGTAAAGGAAAGGCTATTGTTAAAATAGCTGCTCTTTAAATGCATTTTAAAATGCTTATTTTTCAGTTGAGTTTAATAGAAATAGCCCTAGAGTTGGAGTCAAAAGAGTATATGTATATGTATATGTATATGTATATGTATATGTATATGTATATGTACATATATATCAGTTCCTGACCTGACATTTATTCATTTATCCATACATACATACATACATACATATATGTAATCTTGGGTAAGTCACTGCAGGTCTCTAGGCCTCGGTTTGTTCATCCGTAAAATGAGAGGGTTGAACTAGTTAATGACCAAGGTCCCGGCCAGTTCTAACTTCCTGAGTTCTGTTTTCTTATAACTCAGGGATTTCTTCTTCTCAGACCTGAAGTACTAGTCAAACAGTATCTTGTTAGCATAAATCCCAGAAGCTTTTTTACACTCCTATGATAAGCTTTCTTTTTTCTTTTTTTATTCAATTTCATTTTATTTTCATATCCAAATTGTTTCCTTCTCTGACCCCTCCTTCAACCATTGAGAAGGCAAGAAATATAAAATTCATTACAAATATGAAGTCATACAGAATAAATTTTCACATTAGCCATGTTCCCCCATACAAAAAATAACAAAAAGAGAAAAAAAGGTTTCAAAGTATACCTTGAAGGCTCACTTTTTCAAACAGATTTTTATAGATATCTTTTGTTTTTTCAGCGCCTACCCTATCATTCCACTTGTCTTTCCCAAAGAACTAACCCTTACAACAAAGAATTTTAAGAGAGGGAAACATTCAATAAGATTGTGAGAGATGATCTCTGAGAATCTCTCAGGAATGAAGCCTCCTCAGGGAGTTAATTGCTTCTTGTTCTGTTGAAACACTTGCAGCTGGTTGACCTTGTAAAGAAACATGATTTTCAACTTTATCAGACCTCCTCCTCCCTCTCTAAAACTATTTACTCTAAAAAGAAAAAGAAAACCTCCTGTCT